AAAAAAAAAAAAAAAAAAAAAGATCATAGCTCACTGCAGCCTCCAACTTATGGGCTCAAGTGATCTTCCTGCTTAGCCTCCCAAGTAGCTAGAACTACAAGTACATACCACCATACCTGGCTAAGTTAAAAACAATTTTATTTGTAGGAATGGGGTCTCACTGTGTTGCCCAGACTGATCTTGAATTCCTAGTTTCAAATTATCCTCCTATCTCAGCCGCCCAAAGCACTGGTATTACAGTCATGAGTCATTGTGCCTGACCTACATATCTGTTTTTATCTGAATTCAACCGCAGGTCACCCACCATTGCTAGTTTCACATCAGGGCAACTCTCAGAGGTGGAATTTTCTTAAAAAGAGAAAAAAACGGGCTCGGTGGCTCAGTCTATAATCCCAGCACTTTGGGAGGCTGAGGTGAGTGGATTGCCTGAGCCTGTGGGTTCAAGACCCGCCTGGGCAAATTGGCGAGACCTCATCTCTACAATAAAACAAAAATTAGCCGGGTATGGTAGTGCACACCTGTAGTTCCAGCTACTTGGAAGGCTGAGGTGGACGGATCTCTGGAGCACAGCAGGTCAAGGCTGTAGTGACTGGGAGAGGCCACTGCACTCCAGTCTGGGTGACAGAGTCAGACTCCAACTCAAAAAAAAAAAAAAAAGAAAAGAAGAGGCTTGGCATGGACTTTGTATCCACTGTGTACCAGGCTCTTGTGTTTCTTGCTTTATATACATTGCTACAACCTTCTTTAACAGATGCAGAGAAATGAGTCTGAAAGAGAGAAGGGCCGTACCAAAGGCTGCGTAGCCAGGAAGCAGCATGGGCTGGGTTCAGATCTAAGTCTGTCATATTAGCGGCATGTTCATGTTGTACTGTTGTGTAGGGATATACCATACTTTAACAGTTTCCCTATTTATGGACATTTAGACTTGCTGAAATTTTACTGTTACAAGCATTTGCAGCAGTTAATATCCTTGTCCATCTGATTGTGTGTCTGTGATAATATTATCAGAATATCTTGCTTGAAGTGGAGTAGAATTGCTAGGTCAAAGAGTATATGCATTGGGAATTTTGAGAGCCATTGCCAGATGATCTGTTCATCTCTGTATTCATTTCTCTGTTCACTTCATTTATAGATTGAATGAATTATGGTATTCTTTTTTTTTTTTGAGTCGGAGTCTCACTGTTGCGCAGGCTGGAGTGCAATGGCACGTTCACGGCCACCACAGCCTCGACTCTCTGGGCTGAGGTGATCCTTCTGCCTCAGACTATCAAATAACTGGACCTACATGTGTGCACTACCTTGCCTAGCTTATTTTTTTGATTTATTGTAGAGACGAGGTGTCATCAAGTTGCCCAGGCTAGTCTCGAACTCCCAGGCTCAGGCAGTCCTCTCACCTCGTCCTCCCAAAGTGCTGGGATTACAGGCTGAGCCACCGCATCCAGCCTCTTTCTTACTTTTTTTTTTTTTGGAGTTGGAGTCTCACTCTTTTGCCCAGGTTGGAGTATGGTGGCACACGCACAGTCACCACAATCTCAACCTGCTGGGCTCATGTAATCCTTCTGCCTCAACCTTCCAAGTAGATAGAACTACAGGCATGCACCACCATGCCCAGCTAATTTTTTTTTTTTATTCATAGAGATGAGGTCTTGCCTAGTTGCCCAGGCTGGTCTTGACCCCCTTGGCTCTGGCAATTCTCTTGCCTCTGCCTCCCAAAGTGCTGGGGTTACAGACATGAGCCACCATGCCTGGCCAAATTATGGCATTCTAGTCATCTGCCAGACACAGCTGCAGGCTGGAGATCCTACAGTGGACGGAGTCCTTGCCCTCTAAAAATAGATATTCAAGTGGAGCAGATGACATAAGGTAAAAGATGCTTGGAAGAAAATTGGAGGTGGAGGTTGGGGAGATGTTGGTCAAAGGATACAAAATTTCATTTAAACAGGAGGAATAAGTTCAAGAAGTCTAGTGCACAGCAAGGTAACTATAGTTAATAACAATACATACTTGAAAATTGCTAAGAGAATAGATTTTAAGTGTTCTTACCACAAAATTGTATATGATGTAATGCATATGTTAATTACCTTGAGTTAGCCATTTTACAATGTATACATGTATCAAACATCATGCTGTATATCATCAGTTATATACAAATTTTATAGACTCAGTGGCTCAGCCTGTAATCCCAGCGCTTTGGGAGGCCGAGGCGAGCGGATTGCCTTAGCCCGAGGGTTCGAGATCCACCCGGGCAACGTGGCGAGACCTCATCTCTACAATAAGTCAAAAATTAGCTGTGCATGGTAGCACGCGCCTGTAGTTCCAGCTACTTGGAAGGCTGAGGCGGGAGATCACTGGAGCCCAGCAGGTCCACTCCAGTCTGGGCGAGAGAGTGAAACTCCAACTCAAAATAAATAAATAAATGAAAAGAAAGCCAGGGTAAGGGAATTGAGAGGCACAGAGTCACAGAGAGGGACACGTGGTGGGGAAGGCTGCTTTGATGGGCGGCATTTGAGCAGAGGCCTGAACGAAGGTAAGGAAAGGAGCCCGATGAAGATCCTGAGGAACAGAGCCTGAGGAGGGCGTGGGCTGACCAGGGATGGTTGAGGTGGGGGAAGAGGGGTGGGATGGTTTAGGGACGGAGATTGGGCAGGGCCATGTGACATGAGGCCTTCTAGGCTGTGGTGAGCGCTTGGAATTTACTCCCAGATCAAACAGGAAGCCATAGGAGAGCTGTGAACAAGCACTGGCTTGTTCTAATGAGTGTTTTATAAAGATTTCTCCGCTGAACAACAATTAATTGTAGTTGCCTGTGGGGGTGAGGGTCATAGACAGATGTGGGTCAGGGCTGTAAGGAAGACTTAAAAAGTGTTTTGTTTTTTTCTAACCATGTGACTATCGTCTATGCACAAAAATGTGGAATGGAAACAGCTCCAGGTGCTGTGACGAGAATGGCCTGCAGGGTTGGGAGCAGGAGGTCAGGAAGCTGATGACCTTGCCTGGGCAGAGGTGACAGTGGCTCAGGAAGGGATGGCGCTGACAGACGAGGTGAGAAAGGTCAAGAACAGGGCTCTGTTTTGAAGGTGAAGCCAAGGGATTAAATGTGGGGTGTGAGAGGAAGCATGAATCAGGGATGACTTGGAAGTTATCCTAGAGATCTGTTGTACAACAGGGTGACTGTAGTTAATTACAGTGTATTGTTTACTTGAAAATTGCTAAAAGTAGATTTTAAGTGTTCTTGCCAGCAAAATAAGTATGTGAAGTAG